AAAAAGAAAGAAAATATCCCCCTCTAGTGGCAGAAGGCAGAATAGCAGCTTCCCATTAGTTTCTATGGACAGAAAAGAGCAGATACGGATTAAATGGTTTTCAATGCATTCCTATGGGAAATGCAGATTCGACTTAAGAACTTTTCGACTTGAGAACCACCTTCCAATACGGATTAAGTTCTTAAGTCGAGACCCCACTGTATTCCTGTTGAATTTCATTCTATTGTTTTCTGCCCAGTGCTCAAGTCTGTCTAGGTCATTTTGAATTTTGTTTCTGGCTTCCAGGATATTAGCTATTCCATTGTGTCTACACATTCCTACCATCAACCAGGGAGGTTATCCGATTTAAAAAATGAGATAAGATTAGTCTGGCATGATTTATTCTTGACAAATCCATGTTGACTTTTAGTTATTGCAGCATGGTATTCGAGATGCTTGCAGAGTGACTGCTCCATAATCTGCTCTAGAATGATCACTGGGATAGATGTCAATCTGACTGGTCTGTAGTTCCTAGGTTTCTCTCTTTTTTGTCCTTTTTAAAGATAGGGGCAAGGTTAGCCCTCCTCCAATTATCTGACATTCTGTGATTTCAAGAAAATAAGATTCTGAGAGTTCTTCGGCTGGTTCCTTCAACATCCTTGGATGTCATTCAACCCTGGATATTTGAACTTGTTCAAAGTAATAAGATATTATTGACTGTTTATCAATCTCAAGCTGCAGTCCGGTTCCCTTTATTTGTACTTCACATTTGCTGGAGGGTCATAGAGTGTCTTTGGAGAAAGGTAAAGGTAAAGGTTCCCCTTGACATTTTAGTCAGTCGTGTTCAACTCTAGGGAGCGATGCTCATCCCTGTTTCCAAGCCATAGAGCCAGTGTTTGTCCTAAGATAGTTTCCGTTGTCACGTGGCCAGAGTGACTAGACACGGAACGCTGTTACCTTCCCACTGTGGTGGTACCTATTTATCTACTCGCATTTACATGCTTTCGAACTGCTAGGTTGGCGAGGAGCTGGGACAAAGTGACGGGAGCTTACTCTGTTGCGTGGATTCGATCTTAAGACTACTGGTCTTCTGACCCCACAGCACACAAAGGCTTCTGCAGTTTAGCCCACAGGGACACCACATCCCTTTTGGGAAAAGACTGAGCTAAAATAGGAATTGAGCAGTTCTGCCTTTTCTTTGTCATCTTTTCCATCTCCACTGAGTAGTTGAGGCGCTTTTTCTTTTTTACTCCGCATGTACTTGAAGAATGATTTTTTTTGTTCTTTCAGTGTCTCTTGCTAACCTCAGCTCACTTTCAGCTTTTGCCTACCAATTGTCATCCCTGCAGTTCTTTGCTTCTTATCTGTACTCTTCCTTCCTTCCACTTCCTATATGTATCCTTTTTTATTTTCAGGTCTTCTCTGAGCTTTTTGTGAAAGCACATTGGTCTTTTTTGCTATCTTGCATCCCTTTTTCTTGTTGGAATTGTTTGTAGTTCTGTTTTTAAATTTTCCTTTTTAAGTAATTCACCACCACCACCTTGGACTCCCATTCCTGTTAGGATCTTCCGCCATGGGGCCTTACCTATCTTCCTTTGAGATTAAGAACTCCCCAGTTGCATTAATCCAGATATCTCAATGGGGCAACCAAGCTCTTCCTGTTGTATTTTTATGCAGGAACATGTATTTTTGACATATAGTACATTGCCACACCCTTTCTATTCTTTTTGAACAAGTTAATGTCCTTCAATTGCTGTATTCCAGTCATGGGAGTCATCTTCCAGGAAGTGAGCTGCTGGCAAATGATGGATTGTTCCTCACAAGGATTTGGAAGTATATGTTTGGCCACAGTATGAAGAACTTCATTAGAAGATCTTTAAAATGAATTGGAAGGGAAAGGGAAATGCAAACTTTTTGGTAGAGACAAATGGTCCCAAAATCCAAATCCCTCACATCAGCACAACCTTTGTAGGCAGTCATTTGATGGCAATTCTTCTGTCACATCCCTAATCTGTCCTCCAATGTATATCTGGCAGGTCCATGGATTTTCTCAGCATATTTCAGCTTCAATCCCATGCGGTAGGGATTCCCCTACTAAAACTAGTATTCTCTTCTTCTTTTCGTAGAGTGTAGGATCGGTGACTCTGCTTGGCTGCACTTCAGCCTCTCTCATGTGGGGTCTCCTGTAGGTCTTCCTCTGTATGCTGCCTGCCAGACTCCTCTTCAAGAATCTGAAAGTGGTTGTTGTGGGGTTTTATGGCTGTACTCAACTCCCAAACAAACCGCACCAGAGCACAGAGTTCTGTCCTCTGAAGATGCCGGCCACAGAGACTGGCGAAACGTCAGGAAGAACAACCTTCAGAACATGGCCAAAAAGCCTGAAAAACCCACAACAACCATTAGATTCCGGCCGTGAAAGCCTTCGCAAAATCTGAAAGTGGTTTTGTAGTTCTCCTTCTTTGGCTCCCGACTGTGACTCTTTTCTGTGGTGCTTTCTCCACTATGTTTGTTCTCAGCTTTCTCCTCCTCTTCTTTATCTTGCTGTTTTTCATCTCCAGTACCGCCCTTGGCTGCTGCTGCTTGAGAACTATGTACTCTTTATGTATAGACTTATGCATGGCCACTTGCTGCTCTAGTTCTTTCACTTTTCCTTCCAACAGTGCTACCAGTTTGCACTTGCCACAGAAAGGAAGACAAACATTGCACTGGCTTTGCAGGTCACCACCAGTGAAGTGTCTCTTCCCTCCATAATCCTGTTACAGTACTTTTATTCTGTTTGTCTATGAGTGTCCTTTCTTTTGTCTTATCTGCTGGGAAAATCCACCAATATATAACTATACAGTGGTACCTCACTTGACGCTTACCCCACATGACGTTGAAATTGCTTTACGATGGGTTTTTTGCGATTGCTATTGCAATCGCCACTGATCTCGATTAGGAGCCTGCTTCACAAACCGTTTGTTTGCTTAACGACGATTTTTCCGGCTCTGCAAAATGGCTTCCCTTTGTAAAATGGCTTCCCTCCCTTGGCAAAATGGCAGTTTTCCGGATGGAAGCTTCGCATTACAGGGAATTGGAACAGCTGATCGGCAGTTCTCTATGGGCAATCTTCACTGGAAGATGATGTATTTCCCCCATTGGAATGCAGACCGGTTTTCAGTGCATTTCAATGGTGTTTTTACTTTCGCTTGACAACTATTTCACTTAACAGCGATTTTAACGGAACGCATTATCGTCGTCAAGCGGGGCACCACCGTATGCAGGAATCAAAAATTTTGTTAGGGCCTCCCTCACCAAACTCCCATTAGCTGTAACTGGGGGATTAGTTTTATTCCTTTGCTGTGCTGTTTTAGGAGTCAGCTACCAGTACTTACAGCTGCTACATATTGCTCTCAGCAGCCATCAAGACTTCCTTTTAAACAGAGAACATGATGCTTCTGGATGTGGAATTCCCAGAGTTATTCCAAGTCATTTCCTCTTGTTAATCTAAATGAGCAATGGTGAACCTATGGCATGTGTGCCACAGCTGGCACGCAGAGCCCTTTCTGGGGCCACGCAAGCCATAAGTCGCCGGATGCGTACTTCCCCCAGCACAGACCTGAGAAGACGGCTGCAGCTGCAGTGCTGGAGCTTCAACAGGCAGATCTGGAGCAGCTGGCGCTGGCGGCGGATCCAGAGTAGGGTCTTGAGGCACCTCTGTGCCCAGGATTCCCCCTTCCGCCACCACTTCTGGTTCCGTTGCCACACAGCGCCTGCTGGGGTTCCCCTCCCCCCAGTTTGGGCACACAAGCCCAAAAAGGTTCCCCGCCACTGATCTAAATCTTTTGTACCTCTGCTTTTGTCTCCCCTTTTCCTTTGTCTCTTTCTCTAGTAGACCCTTTCCTTACTCACACTCCTGCTAGCATTATCTGCTCGCTTGCTCTGGTTGTTCACTCCTTAGGGTGTGTCTCAATTTTATTCTTCTGCTGTGCTCTGTTAGGAGTCAGCATCAGGATGCTATAATCTCTCTGCATCACCTCCAATGTGACATTTTTCAGTGGCAGCAATTCTTTGTGTCTATTGAAAGAGAAACTCTTTTAAAAAAAAGCTTTGTGGAGGGTTTTAGCTTTCCTGTTGGGGTACTGTTGTCCTGTTTAGCCTGGGAATTGATGTACAGAGACTCAAATGTTGCTGATAGTAGCATTTGTCCCATCATCCCTTTGCAGTTTTGCTAACACAGAACCTGAATTCTGATGACCAAGATGTGGTGCTGAAGGCCCTAAAGCGCATTCCTGAGAGTCGACTCCGCAAGGATGGACTGAAGGCCTTGAGCTTGCTTCTTATAGAAGGAAATAGCAAAGTCGTTGGGGCCGTGTCCGCACAGTTGCGCAGCCTGTCAGAAAATCCTGGCTTCCGAGAACGGGCAAGTATCTACTTCGCCTTTCTTAAGCAGGTGCAGATGTATGTGCATAGAATGCAGATTGGGAAATAACATTTATTTTATTTTATTTATTTATTCCAGGTGCAGATGTATGTGCGTAGAATGCAGATTGGGAAATAACATGGTTTTACATGCAACATGAGAACTTTTTAAAGCATTTGAAGCCAGTTTCTTGCCTGAATTCTCCCAAAGATTTCTGGGAACTTTAGTACATGAAGTATAAAAATGTTGTTTTGATGAAACAAAACAACATTGGGTAGAAGCAAGCTGACTGATGTGTCTTTCTCAGGCCCTGATTTCCTACCTTGAGCAGTTGGAGGATGAAGAGGTGCAAATACGGATTGCTGCTTGTGCAGCTCTGGGCTGTCTGAAGGTGAGGGGCTGGATTCTTGATGTAAAATAAATCTCTTTTTGAAGTAGTTTATGCCACATTTACGTGTATTGAGGAAGTGCTTTGCCCCCCCTGCCTGACGAAAGTTGTGAAAGTAGGCACACTCCCGCAACAGCTTTCAGACTCTGTATTCATATTTGATCCTGCTCCTCTGCTGTCTTAGTAGCAAAGGGGAACTAGAAACCAGTAACATCAGCTTCCTTTAACTCCCTCCCATAGGCTAAGGAAAGTATTGAGCAGCTGGTGTACCTGTGTCAAACAGACAAAGAGCCTGTGCGAGAGGCAGCCAAACAGAGCCTCATGCTGTGTGGTAAGTGCCTATTTTTTTTCCAGAAACATTTATCTCCACAGCTTGGACGATAGCTCTCCTTAAGGGTGGGACACCTGTTAGCTGTAAACTTGTACTGCCAGTAATTAAGAAGTGTTTCAGCTCATTTAAATGGGGCAAGGGGCACGTAAAAAAGCTAAGAGTGGTCTCATGGGCAATGGGGTGTGGCATTCTGGGAAGCCCCAAGGAGCCAGATTTGGCCTTAAGGCGCATAGTGGTTCCTCATCTGATGGCTTGCTGTTGGGGGATGGGGCAAGCAGAGGCTGAAGACAGACGGTCTTATATAAATCTCTCTTTATTCTGGGCCATTAGGCAGAGCTTTTGCATACAGGCCTATGACAAAAAAGGGTTTGGGGGAAATGGCCTATATCTTGGTCTCTGCAGCTGAAGAAATATTCTCTTTGCATTGTGTTATCACTCACTGAGCACACTTGACTGGAGTTGTTGAGTGAGAAATGTTAAGCTGTTGTTTATTGTTTGTTAGATGGCACTGAACGAACCATCTGATTGGCTAACTAGACTTCCTGGTCATGACAGCAGCTGCACAGGTTGGGATGTGTTAGCCTGTCTGTTCAGTTCCCCTCCCCATCCTGCTGCATGTTGTGCCAGTGTCTTTTAAAAAAAATATATTTGTTTATTGGTCCTGAATCAGGTCTTTATCGTAGTTGTGGCACTCCCTGCAAGTTTTGTAGGCACTCTTCCTAGTACACTTGTGTCTTGGTTTTGTGCATCTGTGTCACTGCTGCAAAGGAAACAGCATGCATGTGGACGGGCTACAATGTAGAATAACATACTTAGGAAACTACCTTCTGTGACTAACATGACGACCTCTTCTAAAACTACCTTCTGTGAAGTCAGTCCCAAATGCTTGTGAAAATTAATATTGAACTACAACTCTCATAGCCGTTTTGGAAATTTTTGGAGCTGTGGCCTAAAAAATTAATATGTACAAGCTCCAGGTCAAGCAATTAGTCTCTCTAGCACAGCAGTCTGTTCTCACTGCCACCAACTCAGAAGGGTGCTAAGTAACAAGAGGTTTCCCTTCATCTGTTATTTGAATTTTCTAAATACAGTGGGGTCTCGACTTACGAACGGCTCGACATACGAACGTTTCGACTTACGAACCGCTCTCATAGGACTATATGGACTCGATTTACGAACTTAGATTCGAGTTACGAACTCTTTTTTCCCTTTTTTTAAAGCTAAGTCATCTTAGGTTAAAAGAAAAAAAGAAAAAATATCCCCCTCTAGTGGCAGAAGGCGGAATAGCAGCTTCCCATTAGTTTCTATGGACGAAAAGAGCAGATACGGATTAAATGGTTTTCAATGCATTCCTATGGGAAATGCGGATTCGACTTAAGAACTTTTCGACCTGAGAACTGCCTTCCAATACGGATTAAGTTCATAAGTCGAGACCCCACTGTAGAGTTTTCAGGGACTGAATTTGAGGCTTTTCTGCTTACAAAACACATTGCTCTGTCTTATCCAGATAGCCACTCTCTAGTTTTTGGGCTTGGCACTGACTGACCCTCTGCTTTCCTGCTTTTTTCAATCATAGAAGTTTGTTCCTTGGTATATTAAGAACTCCTCACATAATTGTTGAAAATGTTCTCGCAGACCTGTAGTGATGGAAAACTGACTTTGAAGAATTACTGTACCATTAGGATGATAGCTAGTTGGCACTCAGCTACCTGTATTTGGCTCTAGTTATGTTAAGAATGCTTTACAAAGGAATAGCCCGTTTCTTCTACCCTAGCATTTTCTGATAACAAAGGCAGGATTGAAGGCCCTTGCCCTCATCCACACGGAGACAGGTGTCAGCATTTCTTAACACAAATCGTGGTTTTAGCAGAGTGATTCGCAGTCCAGGCAGTCCAGAAATAACTCACACACAGTCCAGCAGCATTTCCTTCAGCAACGTGTATTTACATCAGTATTCACAGCAGTCTGGCAGCATAACATGTAGAAGTAATCTTCAAGCAGGAAGAAGATACAACTGACTGTACAATTCACACACATATACAGAACCAATCAGATCACATATTGCATCATCCCTGAGTTGCATCAGCACTGCTGAGTCATCCTGACTCAGCTTTAACATACCTGATCATTATGGATTCTCATTAATACACTCCATTCTGCTCAGGCCTGTAATTTTCCTTGACAACAGGTTCATAGGCACACCCCCTCACTGAGGAGCATGGATTGCCCCCTACTCTGCAGTGCTCTCTGCACAGAGCCTGTTCCACTCCAGCTGAGCCACAGGGCTTGATGACTTTTGCTGGCCATGAGCTGTAAATGTAAGCTCCTCAAAGCAGGAGAAAAGTTGGACATCAAATGGCTCTTGCAAAGACACAGGAGTCAGTAATACATAGCTGACTGCATTTGCTATAAAGAGGAAGGGCTTCCATATCACTGGGTGTGAGGATTTTTAATGCTTTTAAAGGGACTGAACAGTTTTGATGGCATAGATGTGGAAGATAACCAAGCTTATCTAGTCCAATCTGCTGCCAATGCAGGAGATCCACTGCACTAGGAGAGCCGACCATCTCTGTTCTTTGTCAGTATTCTATATTAGTGTAGCATTAGAAATAGTTTCCCAAACTCATAGGCCTGTTCTCAGGCTACAGAAAGTGACAGAACGGGGTGTCAGTTTTGAGGGGACAAGAGAAGAATTGAGACAAATCTTTATCTCAGCAGCAGCAATAATGAAGGTCTTCCTGTTCTTTCCCAAGGCTGTTCTGTTTTGTTGTTGTTTTTTGCCAGTTGCAGCAACTTTGCTACACCGCCTGACAGCAAATGATTTTTGCACTTGTTCACAGTTACTAAGCCACCTTTTCATTCCCCCACCCCATTTACTGCCTTTGGGTTGCTGCTGTGTAATGAGCTGGGCCCTCGCCCATCTGTGTTCATTCCCCATATGGAAAAAGTCACATCTCAAGGATAGGAGCCTCCAGTTACCCATCTTCACTTAGGCAACTTCTACATAAAAAGATTTTGGGAGCACTGGAGCTGTTTGCACGTGCCAGCCACAAAGACATTGTTGGCCCATCACTAGTTTGTTCCAGGTGACAGACTCACGAGTTGTGGATAATGTAACTACTATTTCTTGCAATTATAGTTCAGTTCTTAAATTTCACAAGAAGTTGAGAAACTACTGCCTAAATGCAGCCTTTGAACTCATGTGGAGCATGTGTGGTTCTCTAGATGCTGTTGAACTGCAGTGCTGTTTAATCCTAGCCAACAGTGAGTAATGTTCAGTGTTGCAGTTCAACAGCATCTTATGAGTAAAAAACACATCCCCCATTCGTCTCCTTGAGCTTGATCTCTGGCTGAAGCAGACTTAAGAGCTGAATGCCATCTGGACAGATGCCATCTATAAGGATTCTGCAAGAAAGCAAAAGAAGTTATGCACTGACTTTACGTAATCCGTACATAGCAAATTTTCACCTTCTAGCTGAGCCAGGATGCTGCTTAGGAGTGGACGATTGGTTGGGGGAATATCTGCATTCGTTTTTCCACACCAGGTTTGAAAAAGGACTTCAAATGGCTGGTGAAGTCTGTGTCTCCTCCTAGGTGGTCAGCAAGCTTGTTTAGTTTTATTTCCTCACAGTAAACTTTCAGGCATGCCAGAATGCCTATTGGCGGCATTTACATGCACAGAAAATTCTTCAGGTTGTCGACTGAACAGACAACTTGTATCTCATAGGTGTTGTTATAGCATGTGTATTCCAAACAAGCAAAGATCAACTAAAACACAAAGGACAAATTCAAATAGAACAGCCGGCTTTAAATGCAGATTTGATGTCAGGTAAAAAATGGTTAAATAAATGACTTAGCACTCAAAATACAAGAGAGTCTGTAACCAAACCAAAATGTTCAAAAATTACACAGTGAGCCTTTAGCAGACTGTACCATGGGGGATTCAAATTTGAGCAGCAGCAGAGTCCAAATCCCAAGAAATCTGAACAAACCAGCATTAGTTAGTATTCTTGAACCCAGTTTGATTTGAATCAGTCACTTGTATAGGTTTGTCCACGGCAAGGGAGGGTCGTTGTAGGCAACAAAGCAATACAACTTTTTGACATTGTTTTTTGCTTCCGTTTCAGGGTACTCTGTTTTGCCAGTGTAAAGGTTTTGTGGGCTAACATTTGTGATTATATACAGTGCTGGGGGGTGGGCAAACAATCTCCTAATTAGCATCCAACTGTTCTGTGTTCACAGGGGATGATGGAAAATCTGCTCACCGACGGCTGGAGGAATCCCTTGACAGTCTGCCACGGATTTTTGCCCCAGGGAGCTTGGCCAGCACTGCATTCTGAGAGGCACAGACTTCACATGCCACAGAATTTCAACTAAGTCACATAGCCAGCATTCAAACCAGTGTGTCACAGACTAAGGCAGCTCTTTGCCTCTCAGTATGCACACACATAGCAGTATCAGCACCACCAACATGCTGCCTTATGTGGATAATGCCTTTTTTCCTTAGCCACACTGGTTGCTGCACTCATGGGCACAAGGGCATTGAGAGTATCCCGTGTTTGTTGGTTTTGAAAGAATGTGGGATTCTTGTTATTAGCCAGGACCAGGATTTCTGGTGGGGAAACAACAAAAGCTAGACATGGCAGATTGTCCTCAGGTCTAAAGACAATTTCTCATTCAAGAAAAATCTTTGAAAAGCTGTATATGTTCAAAATCCTACTTTAGTTTGTTGTCATCTTACCATATTCTCCCATCTTCTGGGGTGGGGAATACTGCAGGAAATTGGGGCCAAGGTATATTCTGCTACTGACAGGGAACATTTCTGTCTTGGTTGTGTGAGGGAGAGAAATCAGAGAAGGGAATCTTCTTCCTTCTGGTGGGTGGGGGAAGGTTGTTTTTAGTTATGATGCTGTGGAAGACAGAAGCAATATGGATAAAGCAGAAGCTGCCACCGCTTGTGCTATTTTATTATTTTTATTGACATATTTTTGAGGAGACTGCAGATAAATGAAAGCAAAAAAGTCCCTTTTCTATAAAGTATCTATAAATGTATCTCTCTCTTTGTGTGTGCGTATACACACACAAAGAGATATATCTTCCACACACACAGAGAGAGAAAAGGTTTGGCTAATTTTGACTTTAAGCCTGAAATAAAAAGAAGCTTAAACCAAATGCATTAAGTCACTGTCATTTTGTGAAACCTGCTCTGGAGTTTTCCTGCCCATCAGGAAGGTGAGGTGTTGTGGTCAAAAGCTTCTTCGGTGAAGTCAAGTCAACCAACCATTCATTCACTCATTCATCTAAAATATTTTACCCTGTTTTTCTCCTTAAAAGGACCCAAAGCGGCTTACCTCACTAAAAGATACTATTTAAATCTAAGTATAAAAAATACTGAAAAGGATCAAATACCATACTTAAAAAAGGTAAACAAAACAACTACAAAACACATTTGAAGCAGTCAGGTACAAACACCCGTTTAAAAACCTCATTTAGGCAGCCCTGGAGCTTTGGGAGTCTTTTTTACCTACAAAAGAGGGAAGATGGGTGAAGCTTTTTTCAGAAGCAGACGGGGAACTTTGAGGACCACATAAACAATAGAATCATCTCATCCTTCCTGTAGTAGAAAAAATAAGATTATTTTCAACATATATACTGCTTGTTTATTTAAGAATATTTATCAACCACTTTAGAAATTTCAAATCAATGTAAAACAAGAATAAAAATATAAAAGACTACATGAGAAACAAGATTGCAGCCTTTACAGTATATTGTTCATAAAAGAGGTGATAAGGTTCAAAACAGCTTATACTAGACAAATGAGCATACAAATGAGATACTGAAGTAAAAATCTTATGGAGATTAAAAAACTTGCTGGGAAAAAAATCGATACTGTTTTAAAGTGTACTTCCGTTGGGATGCTACATGTATGTCATTGTGTCAGAACCAATTTAGCAGCAACTCTAATAAGGTTTTCCAAGGTACGTGAGATATTTTAAGAAGTGGTTTCATCAGTAATACCCAATCCCACAGTGAGTTTCCATGGCCAAGTGGGGAACTGAGCCCAGGTCTCGACTCCTCGGATGTCAATCTGTCCACTAACAACACTGGGTACAGTGTGATGCAATAGCAGATATGATGAGCCTACTGAGCTAAAGGGGGTGAACAGTGGCATTGAGCAGACATATGGAAGGAATGGGATTCTTCACACATCCTGATTCCATACTTCATGGATGTCTCCTAAAAACAGTGTCTTTTTCTCCCTACAAAAGCATAAAGATTAATATTCTTTAAATGTTTTTAGAATACCTGATTCTATACCACTATTTAATCAGTGTTCCAATAAAAAACTGCCAGGAGCTGCATCTAAGCCATTAGGAAGTGACATAACATAATGTTAAGTTTTGCAAAGAAGTCAACGGCTTAGATATTTGGCTGCAGAACCAGAGGTTAGGCGTTCAATTCACACTGTGCCTCTTTGACAGGGGCTGGACTTGATGATCCACGGGGTCCCCTCCAGCTCTGCAGTTCTAAAATTATTGTTATTATATAATACAATACCTGGAATAGACAAAGTGTTCCTGTTAAAAGACGTAACACACAGTGACTTTTCTTGTGCCATCTCTTTCAAGCTACTATTCGTGTAACTATTACAAACCTGACACTCTGACCAAATGGCAGACAGATCCTCTTGAGTTACTACAGGTTTTCAAAGTCCTGCTGAGTCAGCAAAGCTTTCTATTTCCCTGGACACTTAGGAAATATATAAAGACTTATCCAGACCCAGCAAGGTTCTTCAGCAATACCTCTTTAGACACATAAACCTTACCTTATTTTCGGCAAAACAAGTTGTTTCTTAAGGAAATCGCAGGATCTAATTGTGTTAAGATAAACCAAAAAAAAGGGCACAGAAAATAAAAGAAGGATGTTCCTAGTGTATTACTCCTGAGCTGGCCATATCAAAATGCCCAAAAAACATAGGTTGAAGGTTCGTTCCCTTTACATAGAACAGGAAACCGGTGATGCTGTTATGTGCCGTCAAAGCAGGAACTGACTACAGTGATACTAATAGGGTTTCCAAGGTAAGTGGAACATTTAAGGAATGTTTTCACAAGTTCCATACTGCCACTGAGTTGGGGATTTGAGTCTTTATCTGGGTAACCTCTAGCCATTCATATATTTTGAATTTCAGCTCCTAAAAGGCCTTGCCAGCAGGGCCAACAGTGAAGGATGCATCTATAAAAAAAACTCAGCCAAGCTCCCTGAATAATTCTTATATAGAGTCGCTTCACTGCATATCCTTGAGTTTGTTTGCTACGTGACTGCTTTACTTTGCCTCCTTTAAAAGCTTGGTCTTACTTTGGTCCACTCCAATAACGTCTAATAACTTTTGAATTAGGCCTAATTCTCATTGAGATGTTAATCTTGTACATAGGCTGCAACACTTCTAGCCAAAGGTGGGCCACGTGATTTAGCACAGTGTACTGTATATATTAATAAGCTAGGTCTTATATTAATTTTTGCTCCAAAAAACACATTAGGGCTTATTTTCAGGCCAGGGCTTATTTTCGGGGAAACAGGGTAGCCAAAATTTTGTTTTCTCTAGTAACCCTCTGGCCTCAGCAAAATCAGCTTCCTGTGAATGCAAAAGTCAGTGTATCAACACTTCATAAACAACCTAAATACTGTCTACTACAATCCAATAGCAAATTTACATTAACTAATTACCTATCAGGGACCCAGTGTGTGGGGGGGCAGTGGACAGATTAATGGAACAGGACTCAATAGCCCTTTATAGTTCAGTGCCCCAGCTCTGCCATGGAAACTCACTGAAGGTGTGGAACTGGTAAAACCACTCCTTCAAATTATTCACTTCCCTCAAAAACCCTATCGAGGTCAGTGTAAATGAATTCTGACTTGATGACACATGTAATCAACGCTTTGGCAGCTCCTTCCCCGTGTTAATAATGCTATTGTCACTGGGAAATTTCATTACCTGTATCTGTAGCTCCTTTCACTTGATTGTTGCTTACCCCGACAATTGTGGACTCTATCGCCACTATCTTGTCTGTACGGAGCAATCATGGAAGCAGATTTGGTGAAATGCCAGTCACATTGCCATGTAGTTTACTTCTGAGATTGTAGCTCCATGTAAAGTAAATAGCAACAGGATTCTGGCCTTGTTAAATAAACCTGTGGCCTAAACACTGTGCTCTATGTGTCAAGGCTTCAGGCCTGGCTATGCGATGAACTTGGGTCGCCTTGGTAGATGACTTACACTGGGAACTGGACAGGGGTAGTGTATCCCTGTTGATTCTGATGGACCTCTCAGCAGCTTTTGATACCATCGACCATGGTATCCTTCTGGCCCGTCTCTCTCGAATGAGACTTGGAAGCACCACTTTATGGTGGATGCAATCCTTCCTAGAGGAGAAAACCTAGGTGATGCTGGGGGAATCCTGTTTGACACTCTGGACAGTGCACTGCAGACTCTCTCAGGGTTCTGTTTGTTTCTCCTGTTATGTAATATCTGCATGAAACCACAGGAAGAGTTACAGTATATCACAGTACACCCCTCACATTTCATAAATACTTTAATATATATTTTTTGGTCTTGTCTGGATCAAGTTGAGGTTTATTGGGTGTTATCCGCATAGTGGTGACATGGAACTCTAAAACTCCTTATACAGCATATCACAGAAATGAGTACACCCCCTCACATTTCATAAATATTTTAGTATATATTTTCATGTGATAACACTGAAGAAATGACACTTGGCTACAATGCAGAGCAGTGAGTATACAGCTTGTATAACAGTGTAAATGTATTGTCCCCTCAAAATAACGCAACACACAGCCATTAATAGCTAAACTGCTGGCAACAAAAGTAAGTACAGTGGTGCCTCGCTTAACGACGAATCCGCATTGTGATGATATAGATAGGAAAAATCGCTTTGCGATGATCGGTAAGCTGTTTCACTTTCCGATTTTCGCATAGCGATGTTTTCCTAATAGCTGATCGGCAGTTCCAAAATGGCCACCGGGTAAAAAAAATGGCCGCCCGCTGTGTTTTCGTGCCGATTCCTTGCTTACCAGCCAGCGAAAATGGCGGCCGTATGGAGGATTTTCGCTTTAAGGTGAGTTTTAAGCCCATAGGAACACACTGAAGGGGTTTCAATGCATTCCTATGGGCTTTTTAATTTCACATAGTGACGAATCCGCATAGTGATGATTTTTGCTGCACGGATTATCGTCGCTATGCGGGGCCCCACTGTAAATCAATAGAATAGAAATTGAACAATCCGATCCTTCTTGTGTGTGTTCCACAGGTATTATTCTGAAAGAGGCGACGCAGTGTCGAAAGCAGCGAAAAGCCCACACGTGGTAAGTTCCGACGCCTTCAGCTCCTGTGGCAGCCATGGGAATAACTCTGCGATTACATCTCCTTTGCTTTTCCCTTTCTCTCCCTCTGTGGCTTGTAGGGGGACTACCGCCAGCTGGTGCATGAGATCGACGAGGCTGAATATGCTGAAATCCGATTCATGGTCAACGAAATTAGAAACATTTACGTGAGTCGTTGTGGGGGCAGGTTGGGCAGGGCGCGGAGGTTTCTCAGCTTCTTTAAGATAGTGGTCTTTTTGGAGGTGTGTTTGTGATCGTTATCATGTTGGACTACTGCCGTGCAGCCCAGTCTCCAAAGGGAGGTCATCATGTTCTGCTTCAGTATGTCACAGTACATGTTGCCATTCATGGTTCCCTCAATGAACTGTAGCCCCCCAGTGCTGGTAGCACTCATGCAGCTCCTGACCATGACCCTCCCACCACCATCCGTGACTGTGGGCACGACACACTTGTCTTTGTACTCCTCACTTGGTAGCCACCACACACGCTTGACACCATCTGAACCAAATAAGTTTATCTTGGTCTCTTTGGACCAGAGAGCCATGGTTCCAGAAATCCATGTCCTTGGTCTGCTTGTCTGCAACAAACTGTATGCGGGCTTTCTTGTGCATCATCTTTAGAAAAGGCTTCCTTCTGGGATGACAGCTCTGGAGATCAATTTGATGCAGTGTGGGGCGTATGGTCTGAGCACTGACAGGATTACCCCCCAACCCCTTCAACCTCTGCAGCAATGCTGGCAGCACCTGTATGTCTATTTCCCAAAGCCAACCTTTGGATATGACACTAAGCATGGGCACTCAACTTCTTTTGTCGACCATGGCGAAGCATGTTCTGAGCGGACCTGTCCTGTTAAACTGCTGTATGGTCTTGGCCACCGTGCTGCAGCTCAGTTTCAGGGTTTTGGCAATCTCCTATAGCCTATACATCTTTATGTAGAGCAACAATTTGTTTTTTCCGATCCTCAGATCATTACCATGAGGTGCCATGTGGAACTTCCAGTGACCAGTCAAGAGAGTGAAAGCGATAACACCTGCTGCCCTTTCACATCTGGGACGTGTGACACTGACAGGTCTCATGACACCAGGGAGGGAAAACGGCTACTTGGGCCCAATTTAGACATTGTCACTTAGGGGGCGTACTCACTTTTGTTGCCAGCAGTTTAGACATTAATGGCTGTGTGTTGCGTTATTTTGAGGAGACAGAACATTTGCACTGTTATACAAGCTTTATACTCACTGCTCTACATTGTAGCCAAGTGTCATTTCTTCAGTGTTATCACATGAAAATATATACTAATATTTATGAAATGTAAGGGGGTGTACTCATTTCTGTGATATGCTGTATAAGGAGTTTTAGAGTTCCGTGTCACCACTATGCGGATAACACCCAATAAACCTCAACTTGATCCAGACAAGACCAAGGTGCTCTTGGTCAGTAAAAAGGCAAATCAAGGAACAGGAATGCGGCTTCTGCTGGATGTGGTTACACTCCCTCTAAAAACACAGGTGCTTCTGGATTCATCTCTGAGCCTAGATGTCCAGGTCTCAGTGGTGGCCAGAAGTACATTTGCCAGCTACACCCATTCCTGGAGATCTGATCTGGCCACAGTGACACATGCTTCAGTTAAATCCCAGCTGGATTACTGTAATGCACTGTACCTGAAGCTGCCCCTGGCAAGTGTCTGGAAACTTCATTGGGTCCAAAATGCAGCAGCCAGATTGCTAACTGGGATTGGTCATAGAGATCACATAATCCCTCTCTTACAGCGGTTCCACTGGCAGCTGATCCGTTTCCAGGGAAAATTCAAAGTTCTGGTTCTAATCTATAAAGCCCTAAAAATCTTGGGTCCAAGCTATCTCAAGGACCACATCTCCCTTTATGAGTGCGCCTGAGTGCTAAGATAATCAGGCCTTTCCCTCGGTCCCACCATCCTCACAGGTATGCTCAGTGGGGACATGGGAGATGGTCTTTTTTGTTGCCTCTCCCTAGTTAAAAGACAATATTTAAAACTAAAGACAGTAAGTATACAGATTACTGTTTTTAGCTTTAAGCATTGTTTTTTAATGATATAAGCCTCCTTGGGTCCTTTTTTAAGATGAAAGGCATGGTAAAATATTTTAAATAAATAAATTGTAATTAAGTTGACAGTGATCCAGAAAAATTCACACTGAATTAAATCTGTAAATTTTGAATATGACACAATAGTCTTATTTTATATTTGTCATATTAGCGGATCCTACCAGTTGATTAAGGATGCTGGCCACCATGAAGCTGAAGATACATCAGCTGGGGCAGATGGTTTCTTCTGGAAAAATATCTCTCTGGGAGTTCCAAATGCACTTGTAGGAGGGGAAGTGCATATCTGGGTGTATATGTATGAGATTAAAGAGTTGACTATCAGGTGTCACACAGATCTCAAATAACAAGAAGCAACGGAAGATTAAAAAAAATAACAGCACAGAGGCAATATTTATTGAGATGATTTCAAGGGGAAAAGTTTTTTTCTTGTCTTTTGTTCTCGTGCTTTGAGAGCTATGCATAGTTCTAACTCAAATGTGAATTGCCTAAATGTATAACTACTGGATATAAGAAAAAGCAAACTAAGTTACTGCCTGAAGTATTAGAAGTGAGACTTCCTTTTTCCCAGCAGGGTGGATTACAATTACAATTTCTGCACATACAATATTTTTTAAGATACATGAGAACAGGACCTCAGTCCATCTCGTTGCCCTTTCTGATGAATAGTTTGTCATACCAATTTGTTTTCATTGTATCCTGCAGGTAGGACACATTTAGTGCCATATGAAATACACACCAGCTGCTTTCCACATCCTTCCAGCTTGAGGAATAAACTGCAGTTTTTGAAAGGCTGCAGATTGCACTTTAAATGTGTGATATTGTCATCTTTCTCTTATACAGGTCCTGTATCTAATAACCACGCAACAAATTTGTTGTTATGCTATTTGTTGTTTCAGCTTTTGTGCGATGCTATTCATCTTTATATCAAGGTTTTGCTAGGTTACTTTACAAAACACCTGGGAAAGTATTTAAAATGTATAAGTCTTCAACTGCAATGCGCCCATATGAGAAATACTCTCTTAAACAGGGGCACGCAGCTTATATGTCCTTTCTGTCCAGATAAGTTACTTTGGATCTAAGAACGTAAACGTCAAACTGCATGTGGTTACTGACACTAACAAAAAACAGTGTGGCGCAAAACAGTTCCTACACCTGACTTTTATCGACCTCTCAATCTGTCCTGAAGGGAATTTTCCTCCTGGGACAAACAGCATCCTCGCCAACACCACCTGAAGGAGGCGCCACCCTGCTTTAACAGCACACATTCCCTCCACGCCTTAAGCACCAGAGTCGCCCCACCCCCGCACCAGCCCAAGGCCGCGCCTCCCAGCGCAAGGTATATGACGTCAGAGCACCGCCCATTTTCACGTGGTCGCGGGCCATCAGAGAATTTCCATTTGAAGTTGGCGCCCAGCGAATCCTCCCATGGTGCCCCGCGCGGCCGCTTTCCCCTCTCCCCCCCTCCCTTCGCTCGGCTCCGGCGGTAGCGGCTGCCGGGCCTGCGCACGCGCACTGTCCTTCCCAGCCGCCATTTTGTGTCCAAAGCGACTGTGGAGCGATTAAACCGCGAGCTGGTGTTGGGCGCTGGCGGCGGCCGCTAGTGGCAGGGCAGCGGCTTGAGGAGCTCCGCAGGACCCGAACGGGGCGGGGGCCGGGGCTGCAAGGGCGGCCCGGAGGCGCCCCCGGGGCAGGTAAGCAGCTCGGGGGGTTTGCAGTCGCTTTCTCCGGCCTCTAGGTGTCACGATGGGGCTCGGGCTGGGACCCGCCGTGGCGCCGCTGATGGGGAGCGGGGCTTTGTCTCCCTCTACCGTCCCCACCGGCCTGATGCCGGCCTGGTACTGCCGCCCATCGGCCTCCCAGCGCAGCGCCGCTGCCGGAATCAAGACGGGCCTGGATAAAGACGGGGGGGGGTGCACAGTCTCGGGAGAGCGGCCTTGCCCAGCTCACCGCTGCCTTCACGGGCGTTGCCAACGGAGAAGGCCTCTGAGGCTGACCTGGTTTTTCATTTGACGAGGCCGCCATTATTGAAATGGCCCGCTTGGGTTTCCCCACCTCGCTACAGCCTCCTCCGCCTCAAACACCGCCCAACCCGCCTCGCGGCTTGGCGAGTCCCTGGATTTCGGGCCGCCGCCCCTATCCCCCCCTTTTCTTTTTT